ATGATCAGTTTTTTTTTTTAATGTTGAAGTTATTGCAGGTATTATCCAAATTCATCTTGTCTTTTTCTCATGGAGAYTTAATGGATGAATAGAAGAGAAGGGAGACTTAAGTAATAACTATTGAAAATTTAAAAATGAACTTTCAAAAATGATCTATTTCATGGACAGCAGTGAAGATTCCATCTGTTAAAAGTGGAGTTGGGTTGTGTTTCAGAAATTTAAAAGACATTTCCTTTACTTTTTGAAGGACATAATAGATACTTTTAATATGTGATGTTTTTGTGAAGGTCCCRTTTTCTTTTGCTGCATTACTATATGTATTCTTATAGAGTAGATTTTCTAAAATTATACATCCTTCCTAATTTAACACAAAATTACTTCATATCTGCACCTGGCACTTAAATTTTGGTTTAAAAGAAAACTGTAAAATTGTCTGTTATTGGCATATTGCAAATCACCAACTGTGATTCTGCCACTGAAATTCAAGCAGCATTTGTTCATGACACAGTCCAGATTTCATAATCCTTGTGTTTTCTAAAAATKCTGGAGATAATTATTGAAATTAATATACATGTATAAGCTCTTCCATCATGTTTGGCATTTAAAGACTTGTTCTTTGTAATTTTCCTTTTCCATTTTCAGTTTGCAAAAAGGACTTGATTCTTGAGAGAAGATATCATTGTGGAAAGTTAATAACAAACTTGAATTTCATTTGCTTCCTATTATGCACCAAAATGTCAAAACTTAATATCTTCAAAATGCATATTAAGCCAAACACCTTGTGAAGAATATAATAATATTAAAATCATGCATAGAAATCGTAAAACCTGTTCAAGAGTCTGAAGTAGATATTGTTAGCTTATCTGGATTGCAAAGGTACTTGGTTTAAAGTTGAGTGTTCCTAGAAAAATAGACAATCTAGTGGAGGGTCAACAAGTTGTAGTCTGCAATCTTTTTAATTTTTTTTAAATTTGTCAATGGACCTTTATTTTATTTATTTATTTATGCATGGTACTGAGTMTTGAACCCAGTGCCTCACACATGCCAGGCAAGCACTCTACCAGTGAGCCACAACCCCAGCACCTTGTGTCCTACAATCTTGTTTTGCTGTCTAACTTTATAAATAAAATTTTATTTAAACATATCCACACTCATTTGTTTGTTGTTTCTGACTGCTTTCATGCTATCATGGAAAACTAGAATAGCTCTGACAGAGATGATAGAGACCACATGTCTGAAAATATTTGCTCTCTGACCTTTTTCAGGAAGAAATTGCTGATCCCAGATCTAATGGAAAGTCTGGGCTTCTACTACAGAAAGACAACTGTCAGTCAATGTCACATTGGTTTTATTAGTGTATAAGGAAACTGGTATATGCATACAAACATCTTTCCATTTTTTTTTAAAAATAACTTATGGATTTCTTTTCCCACTTACGTTGCTCATTATAAGGTTGAGTAGCCAAGTAGTCATTCTGCTGTGCTTTTTCCTTACCACTTAACCTCCTGCTGAATTGTTTAATCAGCTAATTATATACTGTACTGCAGAAGGGTTCTGAACTTCCTATTTGTMTACGTGTCTCTATGACGTTATAATGGCTTTCTTTGTTTCATGAATTGATTAATAATATGTAAGCATTCATGGAAATAGGATTTGTTCAAAGTGACAAAACTATGTAATGAGGTTTGTAATTATAATTACTGTTCATATTTTATAAATTTACTATGCTTTAGAGAGAAAAATAGTCAGGGCTATTGGCATTAAAAAAAAAAAAAGCTTGAATTCAAGACAGAAATGGGTGGTTCATTTTGGCTGTCATTGGTTTACTTTTCTTTGGAATGTTAAGCTTCTCCATTACTAGAACCAGGATTGTAGGTGAATGACCAATGTGATGGCTATTGTTGTTCATTTTAAGAAATTCATTATTCTTTTGAGAACTGTATTTGTCATAAGATGAAAAAGAATATATTTTATTTTCATAATTTTTTTGGCCACCAAAACTTTTATTTTGAGATCAACGTACAGAGTTACATTTAAAAATTTTATTTTGAAATCATTTTAAATTTCAGAAAAGTAGGAAAAATAGTTAGAGTATTTCCATACAAGTTGCTTCATTTACCTCTAAAATTTTCATCTTATATGATAATCAAAACAGTAAAATAACTTTGCATCAATACTGTCACCTAACCTGTGGAGTTAATTTAAATAATTTTGCCATTTTTTTTTAGAATTGACATCCTTTTTCTACTTCTGGATCCATTCAAGGATAGGATCATACTGCATGTAGTTCTCATTTTTCCTGTCTCCAAATTAAATAATTTTATCATTCTTTGACTGTTATGACTTACAATCTGAAAGCATTTTATTTATTTTGTGGAATGTCCTTTAACTTGGTTTTGTCTAATGTTTCATAATTAAATTGAAGGTAAACATTTTTGGCAGAAATAGGAACTTCAAAAGTCATTATCCTTCCTAGTGCATGTTATCCGATAGAACATGATACTGACATCTCTTATATCTTCAAGTGCTATTGCAAAGTTTCTCCACTGAAAAGATTTCCCCCCTTTTAGTTAACATATATCTGATGGGGAGACATTCTGAGATATGCAAATATCTTATTTCTCATCATTTTCTTACCCATTAACTTTAGCATCCATTTGTAGATCTTACATAAAACAATTATTGCTATGGAAATTGCCTAATGATGACTTCTCATTCCATTATTCCATTATCTTTACTATTTGGAATATTATATAGAGATCATATGTTCATTCTCTGCCATTTGTTTCGTAAGTCATTATGGAATCATGCATGTTTAGTTTACTTCTTTGGATTTTTTAATCAGTGTGAACATAGGTATTTATAATAAGTTGTGTCAGCTTTGATCACCTTTAGGTTGTCACCTCTTTTCTTTTTTGTGCCTCCATCACTTTGAATACTTCTTTACTCTCAATATCACAGGGTGTTCCAGCTCATCATGTATTATCCTTGCCTTCAGTCATAAAATCAGCCATTTTTCCAAGAAGCCCTGGTTAATTTATTGGAGAATGATATCAGATACAAAGATCTGGGTATTAAATATATTTGTTGGTACTGTGAAGTCATTGCTTTCAGGACCTTTGAGTGAACAGTCAGGAAATATGTATTTGCATACTCAAACATGCATTCAATATTTGCCTATACTTATCTATGCATGTCTCTACCTAACTATAGTCCTGCTTCTCATTATGACATCTCAGTCAACAAGGGAGTACATAGATGATGGTGGTTCCATTAGATGACASTGGAGCTGAAAATATCTGATTGCCTGGTGATGTTGTAGCACAAGACATTATTCACATGTTTGTGATGATGCTTATGTAAACAACCCTCCTGTGCTGCCTGTTGTGTAAAAGTATACATACAATTATTTATAGCATGTGATACTTGATAGTAAGCAACTTATAAGTTTGGACATGTGTGATTTTTATCTTTATTTTAGAGTATGCTCCTTATTAAAARTAAAGGTTCTTGTAAAGCAGTATGCCCTGTAGCATCAGCCTTTACTTCTAGRGTTTACCATCTCTCTTGATAGCATCAGAAGCCATTTGGATACATTGGTCTATACCATGCTAGGCCTTATGTATGTACATTCCAGGATGTTTGCACAATGACAGTCATCCAGTGATGCATTGCTTGGAATGTGCCCCTTTGTAAGTGACAAATGACTGCGCCTATTTGTAAAAACCATGAGTTTGAGCTAAATATTGTAGTGCACACCTATAATTCCAGCTACTCAGAAGACTGAAGCATGAGGATTACAAATTTGAGGCCCCTCTAGGTAACTTATATGAAACAATATCTCAAAATTAAAAAAAAAAAAGGACTGGGGCTGTAGCCTAGCATGCACAAAGTTTTGGGTTCAATCCCCATAAAACCAGGAAAAAGAAAAAAAAAAAAAAACACCCCCTGTCCCCAACCACCACTACCTCCATGGGCTTCTGCTTCCAGATAATACCACGGAGTTAACTTTTGCTTGTTTGTAACTTTGGTTTCTGATCATCAAAATGTTGGTTTTTGTTTCCCGAAATATACTCATTCATTCGTGGTAGGTGTGTTTGTGTACAGTAGCAAAATCTCTAAATCATATCCTTGTCAGAAGCAAATTTACTAGCAAGAATATAGTATTTGTGTGACAGTTCATTTCGTCTTAGCTTTACATTAAACAATGCAAATRGTTTTCCTACATTTAGCTAGTTGTTCTTTTCTTTCCTGTCCCACTTAATGTATGATCATTTGTACGTGGTTGGTTTCATTTGTTTGTGAGACATTTTCAATTCTCCCTGTTCTCCTCACCTCACATTGGCATCCTGGTTTGTTTAAAATTTTCACTTCTGTTGTAAGTAATTGAATCATTATCATGGTTCCGAGCTTCAGTGGTCTACAGAAAAAAGACCCAGAAAAATAAAAATATCACTTCCTTATTGTTGCCATCGCCTATTCCCATGTTTCCTTTCTTTCTACCATATCCCTACTTACTGCTTGTAGGTAACTCATTTTATTATTTCTCTTTTATCCTACATTTTTTTAGCATAGAAATGAGCAGTCATGCATAGTTTTTAAGTTTCCTTCTTGCTGTGTATACACATTTATACACACACACACACTCATATACACATACATTTTTCCTTTCCATGTAACAGTGTAAGCTGTGTTAAAACAAACAAACAAACAAATTACTAAATCCATCCTTGAGTTAGGATTCTCTGATACCAACCTGTTTTCATATATTTGATCCATAGAAATTTGGATATGAAATGTACAAATTAGAACTGTAGAAGTAAAGCTGAAAGCTTAAGGAAAACACTATTTTTGAGGGGTTTTGCTTTCTAAAACATAACTTCCCCGGGTGCATTAATGTCAGTATTTTTCCACTGTGAATTTATGTTAAAATAAGATAACATTTTGGCAGTAATTTAAATGCCTTTATTTATACATGCAAATTTGCCTTTCTTTTCTAGCTGGTAGCTGTGTTTGATGAACAAGATCCACATCATGGAGGTGATGGCACCAGTGCTAGTTCCACAGGTACCCAGAGTCCAGAGGTGTTTGGTAGTGAGCTTGGTACCAACAGTGTTTCAGCCTTTCAGCCTTATCAAGCAACAAGTGAAATTGAGGTTACACCTTCAGTCCTCCGAGCAAGTAAGTGAAAGTTCTTCGTTCTCTCTAYACATTTCATCTTAATTTACAGGGATGCCAACTTTTGTTATCCATCCATGCTCCCGTGAATGGAATTCATTATCTGTTTTTATCARCAGTTGATTAAGTTTAGAACCTGGGCCAATGTCTTTTGCAAGATCAGCAAGCAACTCTTTATATTTTAATAGACTGGGATTACTTTACTTTAGACTAGTAAACTTTTTATTGCTCACAAAAGCTAAATAAGGATAATGGAAGAAGTAAAATTACCTGGATTTTTCTTTCTATATATATGTCATCTGAATTAACTAGTATGGATAGAAGTCATTGAAGGGTTTCTCACTGAAATAAAACACAGCACCATTGATTCACAATCAGCTTGGTTACAACTCTTACTTRTGATACTTGAACTTTACGTGATGAACTAGGGAAGAAGAGACCAAAGTTATCTTTAGAAGTCTGGAATTTAGAATTTSCAGGGTTCTGCAATTGGAGCACACCTCAAGGAAAGGAAGGTTAGGAACAGAGAACTTGTGCTATGAATCCTGTGACCTAGAGTATTCCACTTCCAGACATTTGTTTGGAAAATTCTGTTAACCATTTCTAGAAGGTATACTCAGGAGGCTTTTTCTAGAAATAGCATTTCATGTTTCTTATTGTAAAATCTTATAGTTGAGGAGTTATAAAGTATAGGAAGGCCCATTTCAAGACATTTATAATTTTGAAGCTCATTTATCTTTTAGATACCTCTGTGTGTAAACACTTCAGTTTTTTTAAGTGGAACATTTTGGTCTTGCATGTGTTTACTGATAGTCTTCAGTGAATCTTCATTTAGGTGGAATGAATACACGCACACACACACACACACATACACACATACATACATATACACTATGTTGCTTGCATAGAGAATATAAGTAAATAATACTTAGGATACTTGATTTAATCTCCTGAATTTCAACCTTATTCTCACTTTTGCATTGATGTCGGGTTATACCATTTTAGCAATTACTTCTAGATGTTTATAAACTACTTTTGCTTCCATTGATCCTTGAGGCTATACATGAGGATTTGGAGTGTAACTCAGGAGTAGAGTGTGTGCCTAACATGGAACTGGGCTCTGGGGTTCAATACTTAGGACTGAAAAAATAATGTATATTGGGATAATAGGACTATCAATTTCTGATAGTCCATCAGAAATTATGAAAAAATATGCTGTGATTACCATAAAGATATGTAGGGATCCAGAAGTATATTGCAAGATGATGAATYTAATTGATGCACTATAGGGTTCTGTCTGGATGCAGATTCATGTTAACCACTTCCTACAATTTCTTCATATTTTCTGTAACAGATGAGACCCTGGCATAATTAGTGTTTGTAAGAGACCTTGAAGTAGAACAGCTGTTGTTAGTTAAGTTGGTTTAGTTAAATTTTCTTTCCATCCCTTCCTAAGTTCTTTCCCAGTCTACTCTTTCTCCTCCTCCTCTTCCTCCCTTTCTCCCTCCCCCTCTTCCTCCTCCTCCTCCTCCTCCTCCTCCTCCCCCTCCCCCTCCCCCTCTTCCCCCTCCTCCTCTTCCATTGCCTAGGCTGGTCTCAAACTCAGGAGTTCAAGCTATCCTCCTTCCTCATCCTCCTGAGTAGCTGGGATTATAGATATATACCACCACACCCATCTTGAATATTTTTTTTTATATGCAGAAGATTTTGGTTTGTTTGTGCACATGTATAAGCGAGTATGTTTTAAACTAATTTTGTGGCAATGACATTTGATTACTCTAAGGATATACACTTAAAAAAAAATCATGTTGGATTTACTTCAGGCATTGTTATAGGCAAGGAAAATGTCATGCATAGTATCCAAAGTGATGTGAGGTGGTTCCCAGGCTCTTCAAGTTTTTTCAAATTAGAAACTAGCTCAGTATTAAGTGGATATCTGCTTGGAATTAACTTTTGTATAAAAAGTAGATTTTCTAGATGTGATTAAAAATATTTTTTTTCTCATTAAATAATAYTACCAGTATTGAGGTACCTAAATTTTGGAAAACAGTGTCCTAATTTGAGCAATTGTACCTTAATATATATAATTAAATATAGGGCTTTTTGTTGGATTATGTTTRTAGTTTTGTATGTATGTGTTTTCTAAAGCAACATGCACCTTTTATTTAGCTGCATTGTAAAGAAAATGTTGGCAGAATGGTAAATTTATATTCATGTTAAAAATGTGAATGGTGTACTTTCTATCAACTTTTATCTTTTGTCTTCTCTGGACTCCTCAACATTTCTCACAAACACCTGCATTTGGCTGGCCCTGTGAGTTAAAATTTAAACACTATTTTTGACTGAAATATCTCTTTTATCTTGTTTTTATTGGGAAAAAGAAGTTATGTTTCAAACATATGTGTTGTCTTCCAGCCATCAGTGGGAGAATATGCAGATCTCATTTTCTGGCTCTGATTTTTATTTTTATTTTTTTATGCTAAGGTTGTTTAGATTTTATGGCCTTGGCTGGCACCGGGTATGTATATGTTAAGCATGTACCATATACAAGGCTCATGACTATGTAAAAGTTACCCGTGACACATGTCATCTATTTATTAAGATGATTTCTCATAAAATATATTGAGATTCAAACAGGAAGCATGATTTTGTCTGTATGCTTGCCAGGCATTGTGTTATGCTGAAAGTGGCCAGAGTTGAGTTAATGAAGCGTAGGGCTTTCCATCAAGGAAATATGTTGGCTTTCTTATTTACAGATTTGAAAATAAAGAAGCCAACAATAGTAAAAATCTGTTTGAGGAAAAATCAATTGGGGGCATGATTAATAAAAGCTTTTTTTTTTTTTGCCTTAAAGAAAGAGTGATAACTATTCTGTATCATCCAGTGAGCGAATTCAGTCATCCCTTTGTTTCACAAAGAATCACTGGATGCTGCAGAGGGTATGTAGGGTGTAATTCTTCCTCCATAAAATAGTGAATATTAAGTTTGGGTTTAATAAACAGGATTATTATCTCTGTTTTCTTTGAAGTTGCTATTAATTTGCCCTTGAGTTTTTTTTTTTAAACAAGAATTCTGGTTTAGTTAAATCAGTGGTTCTCAACTGGTAGCAGCTTTTGAAACTCCAAGGAATATTGGACAGTATTCAGAGATATTTTTTCATCTTCACAGTTGGTTGAGGAGGGGATGCTACTGACAGCTAGTAAAGGACAAGAGTGCTGCTAAACATCTTACAAACACAGAACAGTCATCATKCAAAAAACTGCCCAACCCAAATGTCAGTATAGATTACAGCTTAGAAACCTCGAATTAAATGAATCATCTTAATAACCGAAATTGCAGTTACCTGAAATTTYATTGAAAAACTATTGAATCCAGTATATTGAAATCCAGTATATTGAATGTGCTTTACTATTCTGTAAAGTACTGTATAAGTGTAGGACAATGATGTGATATTTTTTAGCCAATACCAGTACTACTGTTAGCGAATAACTAATGGACAATTTAAAAAAATAGCCTATGGTAGTGTCATACAAAAATATTAGTATACATGTGATTATCATAACAAAAATATAAATTTCCTAAATGCAAAAAAATTGTATTTTAGCAAATGAGAGAGTAAATAAAACAAGCCATATAGAAAAGTCTGTTGATATAAAAACGATACATGGCCAGGAACAGTTGTGCACCCTGAAAGTCAAGCTACTCTGGAGGCTGATGCAGGAGGATCCTGAGTTCAAGAGGAGCTTCTGCAGCTATTCAAGATCTGTCTCACCATAAAATCAAAAGGGGATGGAGATGTAAATCAGTGGTTAAGCACCCCTGGGTTTAATCCCTAAGGGTACTTAGGATACAATAAAGTTGAGTAAAATATACATACCTTTGGGCAAAGGAGAGAATAGGATGGAAGAGATGAAATTCAACCTAGAGTTATACTACCTTGTTTTTTACTTCTGATTTTGAAACCACATTATATCTTACACAGCTATGAATTGATCACATTTTAAGTTTTACAACAAGTTAATAATTAATATTAGTGATTATTCATAATAATATTTTAATAAGGAATCATTCTTAATATGAGAATCAAATGTGAAACATCCCAACATAAATATGTTTCCAATTGGCGACCCAAACATACAGGAGTAACTATTTTTAATCACTTTATAATACAGTAATTTGTATAACTAAAGAAAGATGTATATCAAGGGGTGGTGGTGAAGAACTACTGAACAAACAGGAACCCTAAAACTGGTTGTTGTTGATTATGTAGGCATTGTTAATTTGATTGATGTGTGGATATTATGGGATAAAGTAAATAAGGGGTTTAGTATAAATTGAGTATTCCTTATCTGAAATGCTTGCGATCATAAGTGTTTTGCATAGGATTTTTTTTTTTTTGTATTTTGGAATATTTGCATGTACATAATGAGATATCTTTATGATGTGACTCAATTCCAAACATGACTTTTTTAATGTTGCATATACACCTTTTGTACATAGCCTGAAGGAAATTTTATACAGTATTTTTAGTGCACCTTTATTATTTAATTTATTCTAATTAGTTATATATGACAGCAGAATGSAATTCAATTCATATTACACAAATAGAGCACATGTCTCTGGTTGAACACAATGTAGAGTCACACCCTTTGTGTTTTCATATATGTACTTAGGGTAATGATGTCTGTCTCATTCCACCATCTTTCCTACTCCCATCCTTAACCTTCCCTTCCCTCCCCTTTGCCCTATCCCATGCTCCCCATCTTCCCAACCCTCATCACCATTATGAGTCAGCATCCTTATATCAGAGAAGACATTCTGCATTTCGTTTTTTGGGATTGGTTTACTTCACTTACCATTATATTCTCCAACTCCACCCACTTAACCTGTAAATACCGATTTTATTCTCTTTTAATGGTGAGCAGTATTCCATTGTGTACATATAGCACATTTTCTTTATCCATTCATCTACTGAAGGGTATCTAGGTTAGATCCACAATTTA